ATGTGGAATTTGTACGAATTGCTAAGAGTTGAGACCAATTGCCAGACAATTGTCGCCATCGTCTCGGAGTCATTGAGCTATCGTTTGAGACAATCGTTTCGTTTGATGTGTTTATTATATAAATTGAATTTAGATTTAAAATTAATTTCCGTTTCAAACGTTATTTGCGAGCAATCGTACGACCAATACGTCCGGTCGCTAAGCGAGAGATTAATGGATCAAAACGTGGACTCTTCAGATATCAGCGCCGGTAATAATAAACGAATTTTATTATACATTTTGATGACATATTCTATTGCTATAAATGAGTGAAATTATCTCTTGTTTTTTTGCAGACAATTTTGAAACACTAATTGACACGTCGATAGCGTTATCGTTGTTGACGACAAGACCTTCAATAGTGATCGCAAGAGTGGAGCCGTATCTAAACGAAGCGACTTTTATTCAATACAATTGCGGACGTCTTAAGGCTATCATCGATCGATACGATCGAGAATATGTTGCCAATGGTGTGGACGCCGCCCGAGACCTATCACTTCTCACCCACGACTTGGAGTGGACTTTGGTTTTGCATAATTTGTCTAAATATCGATCGATTATCGCCGCGAGTGATGACATAAACGCCACTTTCAGTCAATTGGTTCTGTTTCTCAAAGAGTTTGTCAGAGATGTCAGCGTTTACTACAAGAAAGTGAAGATTTTGACGGAACCGTCCGCTCATCTCCGGTCACTTATCGCCACAAGAGTTTATTTTTGTCGATTGATATTACAATTAATCACTAATTGTCTGAATATATTGGGCGTAAAAGCGGTTGAATATTTATAACGGACAAAAACAATGCATATAAAATAGGTTTATGATTTGTACTTTGAATTAAGACTTTATTTTTTCATTGAATTACAATTTACTGTACAAACTATACAATGATTTCCCACTTTATTGCTCGCCAAACACTCTGCGCGCCAATATATAGCCCATTTGTGGCCGCCTGTCATACCCGGTGACCATATGGTCGACATTTTCGGTCGTGATAATACTGGCCGAGTGTTGCCTCAATCTCTCTAACATCTTCTCCGCCAAAGCGGGTGTTAGCGCGTGAACGGCGTCTTCGATGAAAGCCGTGCTGTAGTTATACCGCAGACCGTCCAGTGCTGTCATTCCCACACAGAACTCGTACAACACTCCCGTCAGGTATATGTTTGTGATATCTATTGGGTGTGAATTCATTGGTAATTAAAAGGTTTAAAATAGCGAAATATATTGAATAATTACTTCTTTTAATGAGTTCTTCGTTTAATATGGTTTTGTGAAGCCCTCCGACGTCCTCGAAGGCCGAGTAGCTGTCAATGTCGGAGTACATGCCTTTGTTGACCCGCACCAAGTCGTTCACCTGTTTTGTATGGATGCCGGCGTACAGGTCGGCTCCGGGAGTGCCCTGAACGCAGTGTGTTTTCCACAGCACCTGAGTTATGTTGGGATGAACCGTGTAGTTGACCCGATCGCCAATTATCAATGTGTCCCGTGTTTTGCCGAAGTAGTCGTTGATTGGCCGGTCGATGGCCGGGTTGTGGACGCTCTCAATGAACGAACAGTGATCCCACGGGTGATAGTCGATCGTAACGACAACGGTCTCAAAGTGTGCCATCAAATCGTTGATGGGTTTTACGATTTTGGTTGCGTTCGGGACTGGCATTGAGCCGGCGATGAAGTCGTTCTGCATATCGACCACAATAAGTGCTGATTTAGGCTTTAATATCTTGTATATCCATTCGTCCCAAACCTCATCGAATCGATTCTTGTCTATGGGTTTGTCTTTATGGAGGAATATTAAGTCAAGCATTTCAACGCCAATGTCTTCGTCTACTAAATGACTGGTCTTTTCGGCCGACGAGTAGAATAAGGAACTAAAGAGTTGTTTAAACTCTGTTTTGCATAACTGTTTGTCTTTGTTTTCATCCAAGAAGACAAACAGTCTGTCTCTCTGGTCGTTATCAACGTGTTTGAGATCAAATTCAAACCTCGATGGTTCGCTGGATGTGTATTCATAGATGAATACCGCTATAATTGCGGCCAACAATAAACTTTTTGCTTGACTTAACATTGTTTTTGATGAGAAATATATTTTACAAATGACTTGTGAAACGTTAGCTTTTAATTGACTCGTTTTGATTGTTATTAAAGGTATTTCTTATAATATGATTATTATTTGTGTGACGAGAAGTAATTGAACACTAAATTTGTAATAAAAACTATTTAGTCAAGTGATACTTATATATGGTATGAGAGCATCAAATGTATTGTCATTTATCAATATTATCGTCTTTTTAAGTAGCGATACATAACTACTAGTTTTGATTATAATAGGAGTCAATTGTGTGAATATCAAAAAAGTTGTTTAAATATTACCCAATTATATGTGGAAAATATTTTCATTAATCACAATCAGTAGTTATTCAGAGCTATTTTTATACAACAAATTGAAAATTCAAATATATTCATATCATTTTCGTTGAAATATTTGTTCAATTAGTGATTTCGCGAATAATTGAAAACTTATAAACGTTTTTATATTACATATTACTTATTAATATATACAGGTATATGATGTGAATATTACAAAAACAAAGGTTTGATAAACAATTATTTCATTATTAGGGCACAAATTCTGGGTTCTTATCACTTGATTAATGAAAGCGGACTTAATATTTAAACTATAAAAACACAATTTAATCATTGATTAACTCTTCTTAATACCCATTTCAATGTCACCAATAAAACGATATTCAAGTAATGCATTATTAAATACCATATAATTTAATATTCGTATTAAATGAAGAAAAACTATAAAAAGGATATCTATAATCAAAATAATATTAACTTTCCATAAATATGCCATTGAGTCGTGCCATACATTCAATTAGTCTAACAATAACCGCAAACATAATTTATAACACAATAAAAGCAAAATATCATAATTTATACTTTAATTATAGAAATAACTAAATTTTCATTGATGTTAGCCGAGTAGATTATGTATGCCCACTATGTAACACCATGCACAGATAAATAAATTTTATATCTAAAGTTATTCAAATAAAATATATTTATATATAGTTTTTAATTTGTATATTGCTATGGAATTTGACCGATCAGTTAAATATAACTTATATTTTATAAGTTCCCGCAATTCACCAGAAAAATGTTGTTCCCATACTATTCATGCAATTATTGATAAGAAATTCCTACGTTTTTTATGCATTTCATTTGCACTTTCATTATAATAACGGCTATTAATTTGTATCGGAAATTAACTCATCGATAAACTGCCAGTTAATTGACGTAAAAAATTTCCCCAATATTAGCAATTAGTGAGAAAAACGATTAAGAGCTATTTATGTTATCTGTGTACGTTCAGTGAGGGTTGACGCTATTGTTATAGGTGCGTTTTATTATGGTTATTTTGGTATTTTATGGATATGCTCGCTAATGATGTGATTGTCGATGATCTTTTTATCAGCTCAAAATTATACTGGGTGTAATTTATATGGCTAATTTAATCAACAAGTTCTTAATTCAAAAACAACAAAAAACATTTATTACAAATTTATTGGTAGTTATCAATTTCAAGAAAAATTGTAACAATAATTATAATCCTATAAATAGGTTATTTAACTATTAAACTATTTATTGCAAACATAATGGGCAAACATTAATGTTTGTTGACGCTATTGTTTATCTATTATTAATCCAATTGTTTTCCTAAACAATGATTTATTACTTTAATTTAGACATCAAGTAATACTAATCTACAATACTTTACATTAGTGTGAATACATAATACACTAATTGAAAGCGACTGTACAGTAGATTATGTTACCCTTACAATGTACTATGGTAAATGCTATAACAAAATTAAATAAAATTTTCTATTACTATTAAAAACCTACAACCGTCAAATTGTCCTCATTCATATATTCCGAGAAAATTATCCCAATTGAAAGTGTGTCTTAAAGTGGTTAGATATGATATTAAGCATACATATTATTAACCTGCGATAAATGTTAAGATCAAAATATGCACTTATATTA